GGGGAGGTGATCGCCGAACCCGACCACGTCTCTCCTTGAGGTCGGCTAGAACGGCCTCCCCATGTATCGCTGTTGGAGTCCCAGGACTCCCTCCTTGTCCTTGAAGGGGGGTGGTAATTTTGTGAGGGGTACCAGAGGAGGGGGGGCTCCTGAATTATTCGGGACATAGGCAGGTAACCGACTAGGGGGTTGAAATAGGCGATACAGCTCTCTCTTGACGATGGAATGTTGATGATTCCACCCCTGGTACAGACTCGGTCTATGGGTGAAGCAAAGAGTGAGCCGGTACTCACTTTGGAGACGAAGGATCGGTTGCCCCGACGACCATACTCCTTTAGCTAAATATTATCAGGTAGGGATGGGACGATCCTAGTGACTCTCCGCCCCCCGCGCGAGTACTTCCTCGCCTCCATGTGGCCCGGGCCTAAAAAAGTTGGTCGGGTTGGAAAGCCGGGGGAAATAGTCTCCCCGGGTAAAGCCCACCACAGCCCTATTGCAGGGCTGTGAGATAGCTACTGGCGCTAGAGCCACAGCTGCGGCCTTGGGGGGGAAATCGCACTTCTCCTCTCCCGGGAGAACTGAGCAATAACTAACTAACTAACTATAATAGTTCGAATGAAGGTAACATCTAATTGTAAGAATAATTTGTGTATAGTATATATATAAGAGAATATGTATTTGTGTATTATAAAATTGAAATATTAGAGAGGAATAAATACATCTCCCATTTTTGTAAAATGCTTCTTATTACACAATAATTAAAAATAAAAAGTAAAACCGTCGCATCGGGATTCGAACGGGCTTTTGGACAGGGCTCTCTTCATGAGGGCGTTAGAGAATTCATGCTGCTCTCGGCGTTTAGGACGTAAACTTTAGGTTGCTTAGGATTTGGGATTTTTGACCTGGCTTGGACCACTCAACGTCTCGACCGTCCCGTCGTAAACGTGTGATGTAGGACTTTTGCCGAGACACCCGAAGCAGAACGCACATGGACTGCATGGACAGAGGTAGAAACCGCTTGTTTAGAGAGCGCTGAGTAGGACGTAGTGGGGGCAGAACTCACACGGACAGGATAGAATATGCTTGTGTACAATACCCACGGGAGGCATGGAGAGGGTAAGTACTCGCGCGGTATCTCACGATTCTAACATCAGTGGTGAAAGCGTGAGACCTGCGTGCCTGCGAGGCTGATAAGGTAGTTGGGTTGGGTATATTCACAGCTTCTATATACATAATACACTGTATTGTGTATTATATAGAAGCTGTGGGTACATTGAAGCCGGACTCTCGCATTGTTGCCATTTTTACCTTTAACACGGCTAGTACTAGGTCGGCCGTGGTGCCGTTTTGTGAAGATTGGGAAATAGGGAATTTTGGCAGGTTTCGGTTTCTTGTGCCCGTGGAGCGCTGTCGGTTCTGCTCGAGATAGCTTCAAATGAACACTCAGTAAATGAAATAATATAAACTCAGGAACCTGTCTGTGAGCTTTTTAACATTTAAACGGTGAAATTAACAATAATAAACTGGATGTAACAATAAATAAGAATTATTTATACTTTTAGACTATTTAATTACAATGTATACATTTAACGTATACGTTCGAACTATCGAGGACTCGGATAAGGGTAACAAAATTGCGACAAAAATCTTCGCTGTTCGAAAAGACGTGTACCTTCAGCTTTTATAACAAAATACAATTTGTTTAACATCAAATCAGAAATTCGTTAATAACTTTACTTTAATCCTATTGGATCTCATCATTATGGTAGTAGCTACATGTACTTATTCCTAGAATTTACAACAGATGGCGTTTGTTTCCAAAAAATATTACAAGTTGCGAATATGCACCAGCGTCATACACAAAAGTCAGTGTCAGTTCTTAGTTAAATAATAAAGGAAACGATTTTAAAATCTGTATTTGTCGTCTGCAGTACCTACAATTAGGGTTGCCATCCGTAAAATCATTAATCTAGAACAGAGAGTGACAGAGAGCATTAAAACCCCCGACACTACCAACGATTTCTTATATTAGGTACGATATCCCAAGACAAAAATTTCTGTAAATTATAGACTGTAACCGCAATAAAAAAATAAAGATAAAAAAAGTTGTACAAAGATTTAAAATAACTTATAAAATACGCAAATTTAACTTATCGTAAAACCTGGATCACTACAGAAAATCCCGAAAAAAGAGGACTAATCCGGGGAAACCCGGGTGGATGGCAGCCCTACCTACAGTGAATATGAAATTCGAATAAATATGAAATGAAAACATGGCTAATACATTAATTCCATTTGTGTACTGGGCTCAAACGGAAAGTCAGATTACATTAAAGGTAGAGTTGACTAATGTTAAGGTATGTAACTTAAATTGTATCTGTACCTACATTGTTTGTATAAATTTTCATGAATTTCACATATGTTTTGCAGGATTTAAATGTTGACATAGCCGAGAAGAGATTGCAAGTTAATGTTTATGGACAAGGTGCCAAAGGTTTTCATAATTATAGATTCGATATTGATTTACATTCGTGTATTAACACTGAGGTAATACTCATATAACTTATTTACTATCATATTATATATCTAAGATCCCTGATAATCAGTTGTGTACAAGTTTCGAGCAAATTGCCAGCAAATAATGTCAAAATTTGTCTAAAAAACCGTAGCCATTTGTTTCCGCATTTGACTTGTACTTTGTTTATGTTCAATCAAAAACAACCATAATTTGTATGAAGAAATAACTTTTATGCATGTGTGTTATTTTTATTATTGTAGGAAAGTAGTTATAAAGTAATAGATCGTGAAGTTGATTTTGTACTGAAAAAAAAATGTTTCGGTTGGTGGCCAAGATTAACAAGCCAACCACAAAAACCATCTTGGCTAAAAATCGATTTTGATAAGTGGACTAGTGAAGATATAGAAGACAATGAAGATGAAAAACGGGACATATGCACTGATTATCCTGGCATGTATGACAAACTTTATAAAGAAGAATTTGGTTACAGGAAAGGTATATTTTTTTTAAAGACATAGGTCAATTCATATTATTCAAAACTATAGGTGGTATTGATTTGGTTTTATTTATTCTACAGAAGATTTTAAGAAGGTGTACTTAATTATTTATAACCTTTGGCAGTTTGTTGGTTTTATTTACATTCTCACTGTAATGGGAATCATGTATTCACGAGATGGACCAGGTCTGTAAAAATTTAAATCGTTTAAAATCATGAATATGATAATATGAGTTCAAATGAGATATTAAAATATTCAATATTGAATTTTAGTTTCTATGAAGGGAACATATACTGCTGTTGGAAACCCAATGAAGTTTATACAACTTTTACAGTTCTTAGAAGTTATGCATTCCTTATTTGGTTACACAAAAAGTAGTGTATTGATATCATTTGTACAAGTAGGAGGTAGAGCATTTATTTTATTTGCTATGATTGAAGCTGAGCCACGTATGCAAACAAAACCTGTAATTTTTTATCTATTTGTTGTTTGGAGTACAGTTGAAGTAGTTAGATATCCATATTATATAATGCAATTACTTAAAATTGAAATTGCGTTTTTAACATGGCTAAGATACACAATATGGATGCCTCTATATCCATTAGGATTTCTTTGCGAAGGAATTATAATACTGAGAAATATTCCATATTTTGAGGAAACGCAGAAGTTCACTTTTTCTTTACCAAATACTTGGAATTTTGCATTTCATTTTCCATTGTTCCTAAAAATATATTTGCTTATATTTTGTTTACCTCTTATATACATGTTAATGTCCCGTATGAATCAAGTACGATATAAAAAATTGGGTAAATCTAAGTTGAAAAAGAAGTATGTATAACTTAGTCAATGATTTGGAATACATTAGGTGACAACATTAGTTTTCATATTCTGATTACCAATCCGTGTGCTATGTTTGTTTTACTTTTTTAGATTCGTTTATTTTTTAGTTCAGAATAATACTGAGCAAATCTTTGATCTTTGTATAGATTTCAAACAGTAGTATGTAATTCTATTATACATAAAATATTACAAGCAAAAGTAATTCTAATATTTTAACTTTTAGCTGTAAATAAGAATGCGATATTGTAATTAAATTATATTAATATTGTCATACTACTATAATTTTTATCTGGAGTACCTCTTCGAGGTATGTTCAGATGTCAATATTTGCAAAAAGACACTCGAATTTGGATCAATTTGTAACACACACTTGCTTATATGATGTGTGATTTAGGGTAATTTGCAGATTGCCCACAGGTAATCATGCAATAATTGTTTATGTTCATAATACAATCAGAATTCAATGATAGTTTCAACAAGTGTTGTATAACCCATGCACTTAAAACAAATGATCTCAAGTTTTTTAGAATTCTTATACACATTAGTGGAGTTCAAAGTTGAAGACTTAGCTTATGGGAAGATGTTTAAAATAAGTTCTAATTTATGATTTCTCAAATGCAAGTTGTAGTATTACATGTGCACCACACCTTGTGTTACAATCAGTGATAAGAAGAGATAATTGGTTTCTTTCTTCAGTAAAGATTAAATTTAAAACAAACGATTTGTAGTATAAGTGGAGCTAAATAAGAGGAGAGTAAGCGTTTCTCTTAAAGTTGGTAATAAGGATTGATAATTAGCTGAAGTGACCGGATGTTTTATGTTGTATTGAGGAACATGTCCAAAATAAAATACAAAAACACTTAATACTGTTGTGAGGACATCATTCCCTTAGTGTAATTGTGCATCATTAAAATATGTTTGATGTATCTCGTGTTTATTAATATAAAAATGACAAAAAAACGTACTTCTGATAAATTAATATAAACACTCCTAATAAAAAATTAAGTACATACAGTATCTGCTCGATAGATGTATCTCTAGGGGCTGTAAAGGGTTAAAATTCACCAGTCGCCCATTCAGTTGTGCGAGGCGATGTATGTACATCATATAGGGTGGACTGGATGTACACACTTCGTGATTATCTTAATTATCTCCGTTATTTTTAGAGATATGAAAAAAGTTTATTCACAAAAGTTGTTTAGTATGGAGGGGGCTATTACTTAACAGTAACAATTTTTTCGTAATTGGAAAATCTTTTGAAATTTGAAAATTAATTATATGTATATGTTTTCTCTTTAATGATACTGAAATATCGTCGAATAAAAATATTGTTTTTACGTAAATGGATTCTTCTAAACATTCTACGTAAGAAAATATTGAGGTATTACATGAAAAAAATTAATGTTGTGAGGATATGTTATACATACAAAATGTGAATTGTGACGTACCCTCGCGAGCAAACTCGCCTTCCGCTAGAGGCAAAAGTGGCGATGGGGAAGGGCCTCCACTTGATAAATTTATTTCAATTACTGAAATAATTATTTCAGTAATTCTAAATACCAAATGGTAGGAGGCCTTGTCCCTACGTTACTTTTTCCCCTAGTGGAAGTCGAGTTTGCTCGTGGGTGTACAGAACAGAGGAAATTGGAATCTCATTTTTGCAATCTGAAAATCATAAACACAATTTATGTAAATTAACATATATTAGTATTCAATCAGATATATTTACATTATGTAGTATTTTCAGATACATGTATTTATGGTCTAACCTCTTTCCCGAACGTTCACTTATCGGTGTAGATGCGTGCCGAGGAATTTCAGTGGCTATGGGGGAAGGTGTGCGAGCGAGAGAGTACGGTAGAGTTTGCCGCGTATTGGTGCTCTCCGTCGGTTCAACGCGCTAGTGATGTTGCGTCACACAGTTTATTGACCTAGCCGTGTACGCCGTGTAACATCCGGTGTTGGGTCGTTCAAGGAAGGTCGTTCAAGCCGGCAAAAACAATTCAACACGAACAAACCTGCGTACGCCCAATACATAACGGCGTTAGCTTCCTCACTTTCTCGTGAGCCGTCGCGGAGGGTGGGCGCGCGTCTCATACTCGTCCTTTCTCTTGTTACTAACCCATTGTTTGTTGCAGGCATTCGACAACCATCAATTTATTTACTGTACATATTGTTGTGTCCCCTCTCTTGTTACTAATCCCTTGTATGTTACAGTTACAGATGTTCGAGAACAATTGGCTTCGATATTTATTTTCTTGTGTACTGTGATTCATTTACTCTGATTTATTTACTCTGATTTCTATACTGTGATTTATTTACTGTGTATATTATTAATCTATTTACTGTGCATATTGTTGTGTCTCCTCTCTTGTTACTAATCCCTTGTATGTTACAGATGTTCGAGAACCATTGGCTTCGATATTTATCTTCTTATGTACTGTGATTCATTTACTGTGATTTATTTACTGTGCATATTATGTATTCTATGTGTATTGTATAATGAAAAATATTTTTCCAAACAGTTATTCCATCGAAAGAAGACATCGATCAACGTCTACATCTTCAAAGCGTGCGTCTACCACTGCGTTAAGTAACAGTAAGTGAAACTTAAATCATAATTCGATATTCATTGTTATATTCATATTCATCATCGCATCGTTTATCATTCATTTTAGTCTATCTATTAATAGACTTAAATTGTTACCATCCATTGTGCATACCAAGTTATTATTAATTCATTTTGCTCGTTGATTCTCTACACAGGGGTACGGGCAATGGGTCTGTACCTATGGTACGGGCAGTGGGCCTGTGCACTAAGACTGTTTGCCGATCCCTCTGGTTTCTATTGAGAAGCCAGATATCGGACGTGTTTAGTCTTTGCCTGGTAAGTAGGATTTGGAGAAAGGCTCGTGCGTGCCAGGGTACGGAGTAGTCGGGAGGCTGCTCCGTAAACGGACTCTGTTTAACAGGGAATCTCGCTTGCACTACCATGCTTGTGTACTCTTTTGGTTCGGGTCTGGTACGCAGGTGACCAGCCCAAAGCTCCATGACAGTAAAAGATGGATCCGGGTTAGCGAGGTGTCGCCCGTCTTTCCTATTTTCTTAAACCAGGTTCTGGCGACAACACTTTCATCGCGATACTTGTTCATACTGTAGTTTAACGCGTAGTTCATCGTAGACTTAATAACTGCTTGGTATATAGAATATTAGGTGCGTAAACGAAATGATCGATGGAACTTTTTCCATTCCGTCTATCTTTTTCGTTTGAGTATTAGCAACTACGTTGCGTTTAGTTTAAGTTATTTTGTATTAATAGCATTAATTCGTATTAATTAGAATATTAAGATAATATTAGTTCTAAGCTGAAGAACGAAGACAACCGATGAGGGATCTTAGTTTTTTATAGGTTTAGGCTGAAGAAAGAAGTCATCCGCCGAGGGATTTTAGTACCGGTAGTATTATATAGTTAAGATTTAAGTTATTTATAAGGTTTATTGTGAAAGGTGGGTAGATGTAGAATCTGTGATTCCATCTACCTGCCTTGGGCCTCCACTCGCAGCAACCTCCTCGTGGTGAGGCCTGGGCAATCGGTATTATCGTCGGTAAAGGACTGTAAACTGAAGACAATATCGAGCTAATGGCTGCGAACTTCGAATCTATCACATAAAACCACGTTCTATATTATCGAACTAGGATTATTTTAGAAATTGATATGAGATTCAAAGTGTAAAAATGTCTACTACTTTTAATGTTTTAGAAAATTATTTCTAAAGAAATTAGATTCGTTTTCCTTATTCTGTAAATTCTTTGATTGGAATATGAATGCTGCGGGAAGTATGAACATTTTCACAAGACAGTGATATAAATGGAACTTTAAAACTTTTTTAAGCGTTACAGTAATATTTCGTTGGCCTCCGTATTAGCGCATTGCGCCGAACGCAGATAGCATGATGTAGTCACAAGGGAGCAATTGAATCGAATAGACGTATTGTACCGTAGCGCATCGTATTGTATTTCAAACTTTTGTATCATTATAATTTATATGTATATATGTATATTCCAATAAACATACGTCAGGTAATATAAGCTAAATTTCATCGAATTGTCTTAAATATAACTGCATAAATATTGTACAATCCTATACTAATTATAGTTGTCTGGTTCAACAGGGTACTACAGAAACTAACTACTGCCTACGTCTTTTTAAACTTCGTCTATAGTAGTATCTGCAGAAATGCCACGGTTGCTGGGGTTACTATATAATTTACTCACGAAAGCACGCACAAGTGTCAGTCAAACTTCGATATTTGCAGGAGCAACAGCGCTAAACGATCACGTTTCAAAACTCTTGCGCATGCTCCGGGGGTGCTGTGACCCCACTTTTTCACACACACGGGGTCTCTTACCACATCGAACGCACAGTTTCATCTATTTAGAAGGTTTAGAAGCATGTGATAATTTCAGAAAGAATTGCTATTTCTTAATGGATTGCATACAAATAATCAAATTACAAAACGGTTTCAGTTAGAGATGACGTGCGAAATCACTAACGGTGATTTATCACAGTGATCGCCGAAACACGATCACGGTCGTGATTTAACTTCATTCACGACCGTGATTGCGATTTTTTTATCTTGAGTGAATTTGCTCACTGCGATCGTAAGTCCTTGATCTTTAAACAGAAAAACGTATTCAATATGATTTTACGATGAATTACGTTACTATTCGTGTTTGTAAAAATCAGTAGAAAAAACAAGAAATTCTAAAAGAATGATTTGCTAGGTAACATGTAGATTATAATTTATAATCATTAATTTATTCATTATTCTTCATTGTTTCTAATTATTTCTTCACTTTATACGATATAACTAGAATTTTTGTTTTGATGTTGTTAATATAAAATATACAGATTATGTGTCGCGTGTAAAGAACTGTTAGGTTCCTCCACGAATCAGAAACGATCACGAGAAATCACGAATCACTGTGAAAAATCACCGTGATTGGGAACGAACGTGATCGAATCACGAGGGATTCACAAGTAGCAGTTCACGCCATCTCTAGTTATGTGGGTCAAAATAGGAATTCCGACCTCTCATGTTGCCACGTATTTCAGCACGGCTAGTACTATGTAGAGTCGGCTGTGGCAGCATGTACCTGTTTAAAACGCAAGAAGCCGATTGGTCGATTCTTCTGGCATTGGATACCAATTTGATGTATTATATGACTGTAAAGTGCGCCTACGAAATATACAATATGATAAGGTTACAATCACGTAGGGGAATTTATTTTAAGTGATATTAAGTGAATAAAACGATGTATATCTTCATTGTCGAAAGAGATTAGTGATTAGGCACTTTCGTATACGTAACCGACGTAACCTACCACGCGCATTAATATTTAGCATGTATATGAAGCGCTATGAACCTTACACATGTGTGTAATACACGCGTTACTGTCGATTTGACAGTTTAATTAATTAAATTTAGCGAAGACGTTAATTCTCGTCGGTGCACATGCTGATTTCTGATTATTTGATATATGCCAAAGTAATTCCTTTTCTGTTCAAATGTACGATTTATGATGGTTTGGAAAAAATTCATATTACATTGATTCATCGCTTCGTCACGCTCGTGCTTTAAGGTTAAAAGGTAACATATTTATATATTATTATATACATTACTCTGTTGTGTCGTTCCGTAGTTAACACTTGATAAGACAAAACATTTATCATATTGCAGTTTGAAAGTATATTTCCTTGCAATATGCATTAGCTGTGTATATTTTTTGAAAACATACGTCTATATGAGATCAATTTTTAATACGTATATATGTTATCGTGGCTCAAAGTTTCAAGTGCAATTTACAGTTTACGGTATAAATTAACCAGCAATAATCATTGATAGAATCTGTAGGTCAAAATTTACACGTAAATATTTGTTAAAAAATAAAATTAATTGTTTTTATATATAATCTAATATTGTATTTGATTCGAATTTTATTATGTAATATAAAGGCTAAAATCTAATTTCGTGAAAAATTTAGGACAAGTTAATGTAAAGTAAAGTTTAACGTATAAGCAAATATATAAAATATATCAGATGCCGAATAGTATTGCACAAAGTTTTACCGTCATTATCTTATGTAAAATGAGTATATAAAATTTATTTTAATATGTACAAAATTTAATTGAAATAATTTTCTTTTTATGTGCAAATAGTTAATTCCACTGATGAAATAAGTAGCCTTTAGAAGAAGCTTTTTGAGCCCAGACGTTAATGTAATAAAAATAGATTTCACAGAGATAATTAAAATCTGCAAATCGAATCTAATTCGAAGCTTAAAATTCTTGAAAGTCTTAAACATCTTTGAAGTCTTGAATGTTTTGGAAGTTTTGAACATCTTGGACGTCTTGAAAGTTTTGAGAGTTTCAATCAGGGGTTGAAACGGTTCCAAAAATAACTGTTTCAAACTGTTATATATCAGTTCTTACTGAAACAGTTATGAAGAACCAAAACTTCCATCCATATCTGTTTCGGTTATAGTTTTTATGTTGGTTCTATATCTGTTTCATGTCGGTTCTGCTCAAATTACAGTTACAATGGTAATAGTATTCATTTTTACATCGGTTCTATTTCGATTTTTACATTAATTTTTATCAAATACGTGTATGTATAAAAATATTGTAACGAAATCCTTAAAAAACAAAAAATAGGAACTGAATGGTTTGATATTTAATATTTTTGTAGATGTCTTGTTTTTCTTTACATACAAGCACTGAAATTCATTCTTTGTCCAACACTAGTATTACAACGCTTAGCTTTAATCAATTATCACGACTTGAGAAATTCGACAAAGCTCTTGACAATATAGAGTATACAGATCCATGTGCAGCCATCAGTACAATGTAATTGTAACAGACAAGAAATTCGTGCTGCTAAAAAATATTTACTAAATACATACATACACCAGAATTCAGCAATTCTGGATGGAAATGGAAGGAATATTGTATCAAGACAATAATAATATAATTCAAGATCCGTACTGGATACTATTAGAACGATATAGAATCGATATGAGGACCAAAAAGATAACGGTTCTAGAACCGATAAATCGGTCCAAGGGCACTTTTGACCCTCTTATCCTGCTGTACCCTTTGTAAGCGCAATATCTCGAAAATTATTTGAAAAGGTGCATACATTAAAGGTTACTGAATTCGTCTTGAAACGTACTATACAGTGATCTAAATAAATGTATACAATTCCATTTAACAATCCAAACTTGATCTACATATCTCTTAAAATAATAGTGTTAAAAAAAGTTCGCCTCAACCCGTTAATCAGCCCCCTCGTGCCATTCAATTTTATCTAAACAGTTTTCTCGTTTTTCAAATAGTTTAAGAAATAACGGAGTGTACACTGTTCGCGTGGACACCCTGTATATATCCATAGAAGTTGTAAAAACACGTCTACAGGCTCCGAAAATTGAAAACACAAAAGGGTTGTATACAATCCAGAATCAATTTAGTCAATTAAGATTGACATACGCAACTGTTTCTAAACATTTTGGTTAATAAAAATAAGTACAGTGGTATTTTTAAGAAATCAATTTTTTTTTATTAACTTCTGAGTCACGAATGCATGTCATATTTATTGGTATTGAAGAACAATAGAAAACAGTATTAATATTTAAAATTGTATGTACTATCACAATAGAACTATTCATTTTTACATAAAATCAGAAAGCACAAATTATATAAAAAGTATGAATTTACTTTTATACAAGGTGGACTTATACCACTATGATTCTAAATGCTTTGTTCTTGTTCACTGACAAAGAAAAGTACTACCATTTTTCGGTAAAAAATGAAGTTATATTTTAATTAACTATATGGGTAAGCAGGTGATGCTTTTATGATTTTAAAAATAGTGTGAACTCAAATTTTCAAAATTTGGATTTACATCACTATGATTTTTATCTCATCATATGTTTATTTGACTTTTCTATTTTCAATTTTTTTCCTGACATGGAATTTCGTGGTGACGTGTAAAATAGATAGGTGAATGCTGTAACATTTCTTAATAAATATAGTATCATTTTTTTACACTTTGAACATAGTGTGATTGAAATGCATTTTGTGCTTGATCTTACTTTTTTGTTCATATTTCTTATATAAAACAAAAGTTCAAAATATAACTCACATAGGATATAGGTACGTTCGGAATGTGTTTCGAAGACAATTCGTGTTCACTATACCAAACGAGTTTTTATATCTCCTGTGAAAATGCCAATAGACACATTGCAACTCAAACGGTACGCACTTCCCGGGTGTCCTGACATAAACAAATAATGAGTACAAGTAATTATTGCAATTTATTATATGTTATTCAAATAATTTTCTAAGTTATTTGCTATTTTATTTGCAGAATAATCAACTGGGGAATACCATGTTGGAAAATACCACTGCCATTCAACGTGTAAAGGACTCAACACCTGTTAATGGTGCTCAACCAAATAGAGATGCAAGAACATCATTCACACAACTTGCTGACGAGCAAAATAATGCAAATAACGAGTGTTATATAGACCCTGAATGTTTAACATTATGGCAGCACCCAATCACTACACTCAATTATTTCTTTCGAGAACTGTTTAGTAATGTACTCAGCTTAGGAAATAAGACACTGCATTACAGAAGAACAGTATGGACTGTAGTTTCGATAATTGTATTGTTTCTGGTGTTAAATAGGATTGTTGGCCCTCACCAACAGGTAATTTTTTTATTTTACATAAAATGTGAACAGTTAATAGTTCAACCATGCATAGTTAACGAGGGAAATTGAAACATTTCTATCTGGAAGTAACATAGAATCTTGAAGTTTTGTCGGACAAATACTTCCTGCTATTCTATTTTAATTACGGATACCATTGATGTTACGTTACGTAATGAACGCTTGTCTTGTCTAATTGTTGTTTTCTTTGAAAATGAATGATCTATACTTGTCGAACGATGTTTTGCGAGTGATTTCGTAGCGTCTTGTCAAATCGCGTATGTTCGAGCTTGACGACATTTTCACTGAAGGCGTTGCAAAATTTGCTATGGTAGCCGCGACATGTAATTTCTTGACACCCTGTACAGCACACGTACTTGAAATTAAGATTAATAACATATTTTCACATTTCCAGATTTTAAAAGCATGGGAGACCAAAGTGATTTGGTGGTTATATTGGATAGGTTTAGGTGTCCTTTCTAGTGTAGGTCTTGGTACAGGCTTACATACGTTCGTACTTTATTTGGGACCACATATAGCAGCTGTTACTATGGCTGCATATGAATGTGGTGCTCTTAATTTTCCTGAACCACCATATCCGGATCAAATAATATGCCCAACAAAAATTGATCCTTTGTGGACTGCGGGAGTATTAAATATAATGAAGAAAGTGCGCATAGAAGCTATGCTTTGGGGTGCTGGTACTGCTCTTGGTGAATTACCACCATACTTTATGGCAAGAGCTGCTCGAATTAGCCGACAGCATAACAAGAATGAAAAATTTAATCAAGAAGATTTGAAAGAGCTGAATGCTTTAGAAGCTTTAGAGAATGGTGAAAATGTGTCATTATTGATACGTATAAAACTAACTATGAAACATTTTGTACAAAAAGCCGGTTTTTGGGGAATCCTTGCCTGTGCTTCAGTAAGTAAGAATTAATTTCTTTAAAGATTACATCTTGCAATCTTTTGTACTTTCGAAGTGTAATTTGTTTTTGTATGTGCAAAGTTATAAAACTCCTTTTGATACTTTTTTTATCAGTTAATTAAGTTTTGTAATTTATATAAACGTATTCGACTTTTTAGTGGTCAGGTCACCATAATATTTTATGTTGAGTTGTTTCTCAGAAAATTAGATTAAGTAGAGAATCAGTTGCAGAAGGTAAACACAACATAGTTTAAAAATTTTCAAAAAAATTTTATTACTTTGGTCAATAATATCAACGTCGGATGTATCGATTTCTCCTTTTGTTTTGCAACGTACATGGTGTGAAATATTGACTAAACAGCAAGTAGACCTGATATGTTTATTTTTTATTATGTCTGATACGTTCACAACAAACTATGATAAATCAAAAGCATAAGGTTCAACAAGTATTTGTTATATAACTAATTTACGATTATGTAGGATCAAAGATAATAGAATTATATAGAAACAGGATAACAAATTTATTTAACATGCCTACTTAAAAAATTCACAAATACAACACGTAACACTACAATTAAACTCATTAATAGAATTCGTTAAAATGATGCCGTCTGCGTTTTCTATGTCGTCCGTCTTTATTGCTAGAAAAACACTACTGAAAATACAATCGGCATTGATATAATTCTCTCTCTTCTCTCTCTCACACACAACCAAACTATCCTATTTCACTCTTTCTCTCACATATGCAACCAACTACTTCTTGTTATAAACAACTCAACCCTTCACGGCAGCAATGAACACAAAACGATACGTCGCAAAATCCAATAGCACATACATACATATAAAATTACCCTACAATTATACTTCCTAACAGAAACAGTATTTTGTTATGGCACGTGTGTACTTTGTAATTGTTCACTTCTCTTAAGGTAATTTTGGTAATGTCAATTCAGTAAAAGATATTAAGATGGCTTGTTTCTAGTGTATCATCCTTGTACACCATCATACAATTTGGAGTATACAAATTTTATATAACCCCTTATATATGTATTTTATTTGTAGATTCCCAATCCGTTATTTGACCTTGCCGGCTTGACATGTGGTCATTACCTAATTCCATTTTGGACATTTTTTGGTGCAACACTTATAGGAAAAGCTGTTGTAAAAATGCATATTCAACAACTTGCAGTAATTATAGCTTTTAATGAGGAACTTCTAGATAAAGTTATCAAGTTGCTAGCAATTGTACCATATATTGGTTCAAAGTTTCAAGGTCCCTTAAAAAAATATCTTATACAACAGAAACAAAAATTGCACGACAAAACATCTGCGGTATGGTTTCATTACTAAAGTTGATTACACTGTATATATACAGTGGGTAAAAAAGTATTCAATAACCCAGTTTTTTTGGCACAAGTTTTCTTACAGAGAAAAAATAATGCTGAAATGTACCTTATTCGATAAGTTAGCACAAATTATAATAATCTACTCTGACAGAAACTTTAATAAAATAACACAAATAGAATAATACAACAAAAACGTAATTTAATAGCCAAAAAGTAGTCGCACAGTAGAAATGTTAAAGAAAAACGATCGATGTCACAAACATGAAAAAAGTTTTAATATTTAGTATGCATTCCGTTTGCATCAATTATAGCTTGTATCTTCTTGGCATTGATTCCACAAGTTTTTGTGTAGTTTTTCTGGAAATTTTTAGCCATTCTTTAGGTAGTACCCTTTTTAAATCATTGCGATTGTGAAGGTGTAGTAAGTCTTTTTGCATTATAGAGTAGCCATTCTTGTGTTTTTTAGCAGTATGCTTGGGATTGTTATCTTATTGGAAATAATAAGACTTGCTTGTTTCTAATTTTACTGCACAACTTGATAAATTACCACGCAACACATCGATATACTTATCAGTATTCATTATGCCAAAGTTCCCAGTTCCGCTGTACGCCATGCATCCCCAAACTAATACGTTCCCTCCACCATGTTTGACGGTAGATCACAATTCCTGGTTTTCTACTGTTGAAATTGTTACAGTGCGAATACTTTTTTGGCTATTAAATTTCCGTTTTTGTTATATTATCCAATTTATATTGTTTCATTAAAGTTTCTTTCAGAGTATATTTTTATAATTTGTGCTAACTTATCAAATAAAGAACATTTTAGCATTGCATTTTGTCATGAAAAAAATGTATTCCAGAAAAACTGGGTGTGCGAATACTTTTTGTACCCACTGACGTGTATATAAATATATGGCATTTAATAAAATATGTTTTATTTACAGGATGGAGTAACAACGATTTCATGGTTGTTTGATAAATTTGTGATGTTGATGGTTTGTTATTTTCTAGTTACAATTATTCATGCGTTAGCAAGAAATTATCATCGTAAGCGGACAAAACAATCTACTGATTAAAAGTTAATGAATATAGGATGTACAATGTAAACGTAAAATCAATTAAACAAACTACATATGAAATTGCTGTTATAGCGCTACATGATTAAGGTATTAAAGATAATAACAATTTGGTCAAATTTTTGAATGCATAATACTACGTATGCAGGACAAACAAAGTGAATAATAAAATATGTAAAATTAAATGTTTTTTTTTCAAGTTCCAAGTTTTTAAAACGCTTTATAAACACTGAAGATATCTTTATAATCGTAAACATGTGTGTATACCAAAATGTACATACATATGTTAGAGTCGATTTTTAAATATAGTGTAACATATTGACGTGCGTTATGAAAAGTAACTCGTTTTATTTTTCTCACGAAAAATAGCACGTTACTTTTTCTAACGCACGTCGATATAGCATATGCATTTTATATTTACATACAACTTTCATAAAGACAGTAGAAAATACAATTTTAGAATTATTTGTCAAATTTATTATGTTCATAACTTTATTTGCAATGAGTTTGAAGGTGACACAAATCTAGCTAAGATACACTGTTTATAAATATCATATTCTTTTAGATATTCATAATGGTTATTGCATATATTTGTCAGTATTCCATAAGTGAATAAGGGGAAGAAATTTATTCTGTGGTTTACTATGTAGGATGTTAAAGTCACTTGTAAGTGTTGATTAAATTTTTTTTCGCTATTTCTTGTGCATTTTCCGCTTGTTATTAATATCCAGGAGCACGTAAAACTAATCATTTTGTGATTAGCCTTTTCTGTATGAAAAGAGATATACATACGTGTAACGAATCATATATAGTACTGTGAACCTTGAGGCTTATGTAGGAAACGAAATTAAAATGGTTTGACATGACTTCTACATGTGTATTATATATATAAATATTTGTTTTTTTTCCATTGTAATGCATTTATTAAATACGTGGGTTGTAATTTGTAATTTACATATATTTTGAAAGCATAAAATTAAATACGAATTAAAGACAGCTTTTGAGGACTTATTATACATCGACCGTACTAAGATGCGCATTAGCACGAGATATTGTACAGAACATTATTATTTGTCATCAAACTCATGGTTGGTGGTCAAATGTGATGTACCTCTTTAACTCTTCTGTGGGCAACCAAAATATTCACAGTTATTGAGCAATCGGAATACCGCTGTTCTGACAGATTAAATAAACATAGATAATTTGACTTTCATACTTACAACATTGAGAACATACAACATTGTGAAAGGAAATTTAGAAATGGGTACCTGGGTATTCGGTTGCCTACACAAGGGTTAAGAAGTAGGACATTCTGGTAATCACATGAGGCATTAAAGAATAATTGCACATCTAACCCCCCCCCCCTCCAAGGTACGAAGACCCTTCGGCAATAAACAGTTGTCTTTCGTTAATTAAGGGTGTTATTGCCAGAATGTTACACTTTTTAAAGTCTCAAATATTGAGCCTGGGTTTAGTGATAACGCAGACGATCGAAATGAAGACATTTACGAATAACACAAGAATATCCAGATAAGTTTTTGGCGGCAGTTGTGCAACTATAGGCCCCAGGCAGGGATGGACAAAGTAGCATTTGTGTGAAAGCGCTCCTATACCGGGACGATAAGCGTTACCACTTTTGTGACCAACCGTTATGGAGTAGAGTAACGAAAGCGCAAATCCCGATACCATTCCCATTCTATTTATAGACAAGTGTCGCGCCAAGCGCCATGCTTCCCACTCCGAGTGTGTCGAACGTAGGAAATTTTTCCTTTCTTTTAATTTAGCAAGTGGGCCTATTGGAACAATACTTGTTGAAGTTGAAATATCATTTTTATGACATGGAAAATTATAAATAAATTTCTGTTGACAAATTTCTGAAAAATAATTCAATGAAATTTTGTTTACTGTTTGCCTACTGAAATAATTAAAAATTATACTAAATGTGGGAATATATCGGATCGCAGTTGTTAAAATATAACGAAGCATTGTTCCTTTACAATGAAGCGTTCGTTAGGATTAAATGATATTTAATTTTATTTAGAATAAATTTCAATTTTTGGAGATTAGTGTATTTTATTGTATGTTGCATTACAACAATTTAATGCCCTCCACGCCAATAAAATTATTTATATCCGAGTTACAAATGTATAAGATGGCTGTATTTTTAGCGTAATGTAATAATTCCTACAATCATCTATACGTCCTTTCATAGCTTTCGTCTATCAATATTGTACCTTATTTAAATCAAAAACAAAAAATGAATAATTTTCATTTTGTTACTTTTGTTTAACTTCGTTTAACTTTGTTTAATTTTAATTTTGTTTTATTTAAAATATATATTTTCTATAAAACATTTATAATAAACCAAAGTTAAATCCACTATGTTTGTTTTTAATGCACAATTTCCTAAATGTATAAAGATATATGTTTAAAAGCTTTTAACAAATATATAACATATACATAACAATACAATGCAATTTTCCCTTAACGTTATTTATTTCTTAATTTATAACGTATACATTTATAGATTCAGTTCATAATTTTTGTTTTATTTTTTCTAATTTTGTTTCTTTTATTTATTGCATTGCATTAAATTTGTTGCGCTTTTATTTAAATTTTCACAACGTAAAAGAAGAGTATCAAGTTTTATTATTAAAAATTAGGTATGCATAATTTATTGAATGTTATTTCCAAACACTGGGACAGCTAAATTAATCACTAGGACATGCCGTAAATAACGTAAATTCCATCCAATAACTCGGCCAAATGAACGCTTTTAGAATTTTTAGATATTAATAAAAGCGCCGCTTTTTAAGCGGTAATAGGGGCAGTTATAGAGCGACTCTGTTGTGAAATCGCTTTTGTTACTCGGAACGGTATCTGATTTATGAACAACCTCTCCTACATGAGCCAGTTTGCTTATTTTATGCTCCCTGAATTTCGGTAAGCGCTAGACAGGTAACCGGGACGCGCTTCTAAAACCCAAGTAAGCGGTTGTAGTATCAATCCACAGATAGCAATTAACAGGGGGTAGCGCTTCGCGGAAAGTAACCGATGGTAGATACTTCGAGCGCGTCTGTTACTTAAGCGATTTCACGATTCGGACCCTAAACTGAGTGGCGCTACCGCAGAGCGCTTACATACCGCTTCGTAACGAGCGCTCGTTACTTTTTCCATCCCTGCTTTTAACGTTTAATAAAAAGATTGGCTGTTATTTTGGAAGTGCGAGAAGAAAGAGGTAATTTCAGTTCTTTTTTTTATTTTTTATAAATAAATAGACTTTTATCACCACAGAACTAATATAAAAAAGAAATTATTCATATATATCGACAAATGCGGAAGTTATAGATTTTTTCCACTTTTCCATATACATGCGACCACTATGCGGCAATCCTTGAGTTTTACTCGTGGGGCCAAGCGCCACCTATGAAGTACTTGTTTTCCCGTTTTCTCCACGTGGGAACGATGTTCGTTAAAGTTAAATAAGTAATGTACAAGTATATTAAAACCTTATTACATGTTTCAAGTTGAATAAACTGTAAGTGTTTTCTCCATTATAACAGTTCCCTTTGCCAATTAAAAATCTAACAATAAAGTTCAATTTTTAACTGTTGTTTACTCAAAAAACCTCACTCCATCCTATTTTTCACTCAAGTTTCAATTGTCTTGACAATTTCTTCATTTTTGAACCAGAAGAACTGGGAAAATGTTCGTACTTTGAATGTCCTCCAAATCCATCATATGTAACTGAATGTTCCTACGGAAATAATAATTATAAATATATCAAACACGCAATTCAATTCTCAAAGGAAATTGCAATTATTACATGTATCTTTACCATTTTTACACGGGGTTGCCCAATTCTTGGCTTTTTAACGAGAATTGATGAAGTCGAATCCATATTACTGCGTTTATTACTAGGTAATTGTTTTAAGACAAATACACCCCCTGATTTTACCGGAAGATATGGAGAATTATTTTTGTTTTGCTAAAAATTAATTGATGTTCATTTAAAAATGAAAATAGCAAAAAAATGTATGTTAGAGATGCAAGAAATTAATTACATTATTTTTTTTGACAACAGGTGGATTTTTCTCGTCCTCGTCAGTATTTTCTTTCTCAATATTTTCATTGTTTACTGTCTCTGCAGTTTTGCGTGGTTTACAAATGTTTCTTGGATTACAATTTAAATTGTCTAGTTGAGAATTCAATGTACTTGATTGTTGCGCTAATAATGTATTATTTTTTAATTCACTCAGTTTAGTTTGTAAAAACATATTTTCACTTTCACACACCATTAAATCTTCTTCCAGTTTCCTGTAATACTACAAAATGTTATGCATGCCTAAAGAGCGATTTCAATTTTCAAGTTTTATTTTATAATTAGCATACTTTCTCTTTGTGTGCTCTTGAGATAAAAAGTTCCTTTCCGTGGATACTTTTATAAGTTCTTGTTGCAGGCTCTTCACTTTAGACCTTAACTCTCTGCGTTTATTCATACTAACTGTCATTTCTCTAAAGATAACACGTAACTGTTAGAAACAAACAAGAAATAGTGAGAATAGCAAACAATAATGTTTCACTACCTTTTCATTACAGATATATATGTAACAAGTGTATTAAGATCACATGATCTTGAAAGCATCTCATCAACATCTTCTGAGGTAGCATGGAGTAAAGTCTCTATACTAAAACAAATGACATATAGTTAATAATTGGACAGTACTATAGGTGTCGATTACGCGTAGCAACGGCACTGAAGAGTCGAGATAAGCGAGCAATGGCCGCGTGGCGGCGAAAATCGTGCACACGTTGCCGACGGATGTTTTCCCAATCTATTCAAATTAAAAACCATTCCTACACTTTTTCTATATACTTTCTTCTTCGGAAATATCTACAGAATCCGATGCTGTGTAGCTAATTCGTGCTAGATAATGAACTTTTCGTAGAAATGCAAAAATAGTGCATAGAAAGTATGTACAATGGCTCTTTTTTAAATTTTTACGGCCATTTACAACCATTCAAAATTACAAAACTTAATAACTGTATACACTGTTAAATTCAGGAAACTCCTCTATTTTCCAAGATTAAATTGATCTTTCTAGCGTTTTTAATTTTGATGTAATACGTCATTTTTGCCCTCAATCGTACCTTGAAGCGGATTCGAGTTTCGAACTCTTATGGAGTCTTTACTGTATTAAATAGTATGAAAATTTTACTAATGGGAGTAAAGAAAGAACATTGTATTATTATTCCTATGCCTTATCAGGTTATCAGTATTACCAAAAATTCAAAACCGATCAATCAACTTTTCTGCCAACTGTTCGCAGACTACAAAATTGGCCGAATAGTGACAATATAGGCTTAACCAACTGGTCGGTCATTAGTCGCTGCATCTCTACTTAAAAGTAACAAATTCTGAACAAATGGAAAGTAAAATAATATGATTAAATACTTTTTGCAGTCTTCTATTCTTTTCTTCAACTGTTCATTTTCTTGCTTCATGCTGCTTGTTTCTGAAGCTTGTTCCTTAAAGTATTGAAGTTGCTGTTTAAGTGCACGAATAGCAGTATTTTTTTCAGTTTCTATTATCATTAGGTCTTTTCGTAGACACATAGCTTCTTTTTCTAGTGCTTGACATTTTTCTGAAAAGTCTTTGGCACTTTTCTCTTTACAAGCAAGCTGCAGACTTAGCTTATCAACTTTCTCCTGCAAAGAGCATGTATCCTCTGTGATAGCCTCGTTATTAGAGAAATTAAAATATATCCGATGGATTTTAATTGCCGTGGTTTTTTCTCTACATTGCGGGCAAGATTTCGATCTGTACAAAAAATTAAAATTAATTAAAATAAACATAACACAGTTTTCAAAATTAAATAACATTTTTCAATGGGCTATATGGAACTGCCAAGTATATTTGTATAATCCTAGCACTGGAGAAAATAAGTAATAGACAGATAATTCTAAATAAATATATTTAGTTCTTCACCTCATACAGAATATCATAAAAGAAATACTTTTTTTAACATTAGCTACTTAAATAAATAACATTTCAAATTCAGTCCCTGCCTAGTGTTTTTTTTGTATTGCTTCATCTAGTTAATAGTTGCAAGTTATTCCAACCAGTTCCACCCACTGTAATTCCTCGCTACATCATATTGGTTGCTATTATACTAAATATGCTCTCTTTGTTCTCACTGGTTCTTAATGTTTTTCACTCTATTTACAAAGTTATGTTTCTCTAGGAGCAGGGAAAAAATTTTTACCGACACACATTGAGTTGACATTGCTTGGCCCTGACCGAACATCTTAGCAGGGGCCGGTTCTTTTATTTTTAATGTAATGAATTTTTTAATTGGTGAAACAAAATTGTCTTTAATTCCAACTACTGTAAAATAATCTATAATGATTGAAATCTGTAAGAGTCATATATTTTTAAGTTGTGGTATATTTCATTTTCTATTATTACTTCAAACCTATCTTATTTCTCCTGAGTAATGTTAAAACCTTTCCTTCTACAGGCAATATTAGAAGTCTCTTACCTGTCCAACCATCGAGTTAAACAAACAAAATGAAAAATATGTCCACAAGGAGTATAAAATACATCATCAGATGGTGTTAACAAGTCACTGCATATTATACAAACAATATTCATTTTCTGTAAAACCAGACAATAATAATAACACAAATCAAATTTTAATAATATTAATAAACTGACTCAATATGAATTTCATTAACATAAGCTTAATAATACAGTCAATAATACAGTTTAAAGCAGTTTAAAGTAAAGTCAAATGCAGTCAAATTGAGTTAAATCAAGTCAAATGAACTTCACAATTATCCACGATACCCACGATCACGGATTACTATGGATCTGCCACTCTTAAGAAAAAGGGTGGTCAGAGTTAAGCTTCAGGTCCACATCACCTGCGGCGCTTTGCGACAGAAACGCAAAAACGCTCATGGTCTAGGGTCTAATAGCTGTACATGTCTATGGTTTGATAGGTCCATAGCGTCCATAAAGCCAGATTTCTAGGAATTATGCCATAAAGAAGCGCCAATCACGCACGTGCTTTCCCCACCAATCGTCCGTTCACTTGTGCGATATTTATTCACCTCTGGTGAGTGGTAGGGTACAAGAGTAAATTTATAGGAACCTAAAGGTTTATTGTTGGTATCACATGTTTTGACATTAATTTAAGATGGCGGTATTTTTCCGTGTTGGTGCGTGGTTAAAATATCGGGTTTTTTGACTTTTTCGTTTTGCTAGTAGATATTTCGTAGTTAATGAATTATGGAAGCTGGTACGAGTACCGGTACTCGTACAACACGATTTATGATGGAGGGTGTCGGAGCCCGGGTCATCCGTGGTCCAGAATGGAAATGGGGTAAACAGGTTAGTAAAGAGGTTAACGCGTTTGAACGTTATTTTTAGTTAATATCTTGTTATTTATTTATCAATCCATTCTTTTTGAATAGTAATGTTTATACTTTTAATTTATATTTTTAATCTGTAATGTAATTTTATATTCATATAATATTTCAAATGAAGTTGAACATCTGTTTAGAGGTTATTCCGTAACTGATGTTTATTTTATTTTGAAGTTTATCATTGGATGCCGGTTAAATTTTCTATCTCTCATAACATGAGTGCGATTGTTACTATCTTACCAAAATATAAATTTTCCCTGATATACGTTGCAATGTCCATTTTATTCTTATGTCTTCATATTTTTTGCTTTGAACGCTGGATTACCTGTTGTTAAGTTGATTGCAGTAATTATAAACAATTTTTGAACTTTTATGCCTTCAGTTTATATACAAATTTTTAAAATTTACTTCCAATATTTTTTTAAGTTTGTGAGCTCAAAAAATAGTATTATAAAATAATCGTGATTATTTCACGGATTCACTGTCTTATTTAAAATTATTTTATAGGATGGAGGAGAAGGTCATGTGGGGACTGTTAGAAATTTTGAATCCCCGGAAGAAGTTGTTGTCGTTTGGGATAATGGAACAGCAGCCAATTACCGTTGTTCTGGTGCTTTTGATCTTAGAATTTTGGATTCAGCTCCAACTGGTGTAAAACATGATGGAACAATGTGTGATACGTGTCGACAACAGCCAATTTTTGGTATTCGTTGGAAATGTGCAGAATGTGGCAACTATGATCTTTGTTCTGTTTGTTATCATGGAGATAAACATCACCTAAGGCATAGATTCTATCGCATAGCAACACCTGGTAGTGAAAGAGTTTTATTAGAACCAAGACGTAAAAGTAAAAAGGTACACATTAACAGATTCAAATGTTATGCAATTATTACTATTGTGTAGTAATATTCTTTTAAAATAATTATATTTTAATGTAAAATATAGTGTATATTTCTGTGACATTTTAGATTGCAATTCGTGGTATATTTCCTGGTGCAAGAGTTGTACGAGGTGTTGACTGGCAGTGGGAAGATCAAGATGGTGGAAACGGGCGAAGAGGTAAAGTTAATGAAGTCCAAGATTGGTCAGCTGCCAGTCCACGTTCAGCAGCTTATGTCATATGGGATAATGGTGCAAAAAATTTGTATCGTGTTGGTTTTGAAGGAATGGTTAGTTAAATAATTAATATACTTTGTGAACATTAGATATTAAAGTGTATGATAATATATAGGAAATATGTAATAAGTAATGATTGTTTATATTTTAGGCGGACTTAAAAGTAGTCAATGATGCTAAAGGTCAGACAGTTTATAGAGATCATTTGCCACTGTTAGGTGAACAAGGACCAGGTCGAACTGGTCCACATGGATTACAAATTGGAGATCAGGTAATTCAAGACTATAGGGAAAAGTAATTATAACAGAAATTCATGTCTGGAATATTAATTTTTTTAACAATATTGAAGTTTTCTTATTCCTAAGTACAAGAATGATAAGCGTCTTTTTAATTTGCAGGTTAATGTTGATTTAGAATTAGAAATAGTGCAGTCATTGCAGCATGGTCATGGTGGCTGGACAGATGGAATGTTTGAATGTCTCGGCACCACAGGCACTGTTGTTGGTATTGATGAGGATCATGACATTGTTGTATCATATCCAAGTGGCAATCGATGGACTTTCAATCCTGCTGTGTTAACTAAAGTACAGATACCAGTACCAGTTACTAGTTCAAGTTCTGATAATCAAACATTTGCTGTTGGAGATTTGGTACAGATTTGTAACGACTTAGAAAAAATTAAACTACTTCAACGTGGTCATGGAGAGTGGGCTGAAGCAATGGCGCCGGTATGTATTATTACCACACGTATCCTTTTTCTGTATTATAGCACAGTATGTATTTCCAAGAGAAAAAGATTTAAGTTGTAGAAATCAGCAACCACAACGATCTTACAAAATATTAAGAGCGTCTAGCTAGATATTCTTAAAGAAAGTGATTTTAATAATGCAAATTTTTAATACTACTTACAAATTTATTTAGCTTTCAATAATTTTAGTTAGTTTTGTACCTGTATGAGGTTCTTTAATTCATTGAGTACGGAGTACTACGAAACTAAATTCTGTTGATGACAAATCAGTTCGTAATGACGATAAATTATGTAAAGTTTCACAGACAGACAAGATATTTTATAATGTATAATTAATATAGACAGGTAAAAAAAGGTAAAATACAATTGGAACGAAATAGTATAAAGAAAGAAAACAAATCTAATATAAATGACATTCCATTGCTTGAATTAAACAACACATCACATGTGGAAGCCTGTGTATGTAAAATAGTGCACACTTTTAATATTCTACATTTTACATTTTTACATACTTTTTATTTATTGCATTATACTTAGCCTGAGCTTAATTATTAATAGTATTTTCAATGGAATTTACATGTATGTATTTCAACAGACTATGGGAAAGATTGGTAGAGTTTTACAAATATACCATGATGGAGACTTGAAAGTAGAAGTTTGTAGTACCTCTTGGACATACAATCCCCAAGCAGTCACCAAAGTAGCAAGTAGTGATGGAAGTGTTCCAGGAAATAGCAGTGGAGGTATGCCTAAAATGCAAACCAAAAATTACTTTTGTTTCTTTAGAATTATCATTAAAAATTTCGGATGTATTAAAACTGGAATGTATTTGATTTTATAGAACGTTTATCAGCATTGTTAAAAAAATTATTTGAAACACATGTCTCGGGTGATGTTAATGAAGAATTGGTAAAAACTGCTGCTAATGGTGACGCTGCTAAGTGTGAAGAATGCTTGAAGAGACCAGAGGCTGATGTAAATGGAGTATTTGCTGGTCATACTGCTTTGCAAGCTGCAAGTCAAAATGGTCATTTAGAAGTTATTAAAATTCTCCTCCGTTACAAAGCTGATGTAGAGATCGAGGTGAGTATTTCTTTTATACTGTAAAGAAATATTTTCGTATCCTCACATATCGCACCCCCGCGAGAAAAGTGTAACAAGTAAAACATTGCCACGTCTCATTTCGTCGCATAAAATATCTTCCAATACGTAGTTCCACGATCCAGAAAAATATCACAAGTTGAAGTCCAATACTTCGAGCGACATGGTGCTGGTGTGACTTTGTTTAATACCTGAAGTGGTACGTGAATGAATCAGTTTTTTTCTCTCTCCTGAAAAATTATACGTTTTCGACTTGTGACACTTTTCTTGCAGAGATGCGATATGTTTGTTGAAAATATTATTCTTTAAAAATATAATGTATCGTTAATATTATAAATTTTATGCATTTAGGATAAAGATGGAGATAGAGCTGTACATCATGCAGCGTTTGGGGATGAACCGGGCGTGATGGCATTATTGGCTGGTGCTGGAGCCGACTTAAATGCGAGAAATAAAAGACGGCAAACTGCTCTTCATATCGCGGTTAATAAAGGACACGCTGGTGTCGTGCGTACATTATTGGAATTAGGATGTCACCCAAGCTTACAGGTAAGTTTATATTTTACATACATATTACTCTTATGATAATTATAGATACTAGATGTAGTACATTAACCTTAATTACGAACTTCAAGATTATTTTTAAGTATTTAAATGAATAAAAGTACATAATACTGAACTAATAATAAAATTATAACTAAATGTTAAATTAAATATAGGTAGTACTATAAATTGCGGTATTTGTTACTTTTCATATTAACAGTCTGGCCCCTAGTAATAATTTATTCATCGTTATTATTGTCATTAATGGAATTTATGTGGTGTAACAGTGTCAAATTTAATAGTATAAGTCTTTTTCTAGCTTTTGAGGAAACATTACTTGCATTATATCAGTACATTTATTGTTTTCTGTGTAATAATTTAGAAAAAATAAAGAAAATTACAAATACAATATACTGACATTTTAATTCGATATGGACTTTCTGATGTATTATTAGCATCACACATTTGGTAGTATAATTAGAATTGATGAGCCAAGTTTCTTTCAATTATATGTAATTAAGTCTAATCTTCCACTGCCAAACTTAAATTGACGAGTTAACAATTTTCTGAATATTAATGTGTTTGTTTAAATAAAAGAATCTACGCTTAATAATTATAGTAATAATAATTATAAATTTATAAATGAAAACAAAACAAAATTAAAATAGTACCATTAATCATATCTCCAACAGGCATAACTCTACAATTATTCACAGAAAACTTACACAAAATAAACATACATCTATCCATACACACAACCATCCAGAAAGCAGTGATACTACTCACATGCAACGTGGTCAGGAAATTCATGAATCCACTAACATGAAAACAGTAAATCTCTATTTTACTTGATTTTAACCCGTAAAATAGAGAGAAAACTCAGTGGAAAGCGCTGAAGAGAAACTAAATGATGATAATAATAATAATAATAATAATAATAATAATAATAATGATAATAATAATAATTATAATAATAATAATAGTTTCCATTTCCCGTATATAAGAAGGATTTTGTTTAATCCCATGCTCATCTTCATAAACTTATTTTCATTACAATTATTTAAATCATCCCAGGAACCTCTCAATTCCTGGAGTCGAAGCTATTTTGGAACACCCTGTATAATAGACTGCGCGGTCTTATAGTAGGGATGAAGCGAGACCAAAGCACAGAAGTAATGCTAGAGTAGCTCCTCTTTTGCTCGCACATCGCAGAGGGAGGGGAGTAAGCGACTGAAGGGCGATGAGGAGAAGGAATACTGTACCAACAGCCCCATTAGAACGAGAAGTAGCTGCTCCAGTTATTGCCTTCTTTCTATTATGTTGACGTGATCCCCACTATAAGACCGCGCAGTTTATTATATATGTCTATGGATCTAACTTATTGTTAAACGTGATTTCGTGACTCTAATTAAAGGGTCTTTAATGTAAACACGCCCACAGCGATCGTAGCGGCCACACACGTTCATAGCGTTGAAACTGTTAATAATTTAAAATGGAACTTGGTATGACATCCTCGTTTAATGATTTTCTAGAGAATTGTTTTCTTTCGAGGGATCAATATATTAGTCGAAACTTATTATAAAATCGATTAGATTTCTTAATATTTTTATCAGTGAAAAATTATACAGATAAGTGTTTCAATCTGTTCTGGTATCACTACTGTTGCTTGTCCTTTTAAAAGCAAAATATAGTTTCTATCCGTTCAACTGAAACGGTGAATTTTGTTTCTGTTTCTGAAACGTCAGCTTCTGTTCCCCGAAATCGTTTCCCAATAGAATGGTGCACGGGATACACCAAAAAATCTGTTTCTCCATTTTCCAGGACTCCGAAGGTGACACTCCTCTTCACGACGCGATCTCTAAGAAACGGGATGACATGTTGGCTCTGCTATTAGACCATGCCGCAGACATCACCCTCACGAACAACAATGGCTTCAACGCTCTGCACCACGCTGCTCTTCGTGGAAATCCAAGGTAAGTACTTATGTGTCTTTCTAAGTTTGTTGTACAATTAAAAGGAAAGGAGACAGGTGACTAAAGGTATATACTTACTGGTAACAAAGGGAAATCGTATTAAGATTATCTATAAAAACGTCATAATTAGTAATTATCCTGATTGAAAGTTGATAAAATTTGCAAGAAACCACTAAGGCAACAAGACAGTGAATATCTTGGGCACGAGATATTTAATTAAGAAGTGAAGTAAAGTAGAGAATGCTTCGTGCTGCGGCCTGAATAGAATAGAATTAGAAACTACGTCGTTCTTTTCCTAGCAGGAAAAAAATTTCACCGACACATGTTGAGTTGACGCTGCTTGTCCCTGTCCGAACAACTCAGCAGAGGTCGGAGCGGACGTTTCGCTACAGGACGCAGGCAATTTTTATACCTGCGGCCTGAATTTCAACCATTTTTTGAAAAACTACTGAAGGGTAGAGGAAGGTTCTTCGGAAACATTCTGTCAGTCGGTTAGCAATCGGACGACAGAGATGTTCAGTTCACGGGAGTATTACGCAGTGTTCTGGGGGTACGCACGGAATAACGTGAATTCGGCTGCTGCTATGCAAGCGTTTGGCTGCGTGGAAGATCTGTTAAATTGAAAAAAATCGGTCCATTTCGGGGCCACCAATTTTCATAACGTACGAACAACACGTTCGATTAAAAATACGTTAAGTGATCGTGTCGGCTGATCAGTGTTAGTGGTCGTGCAGTGAAGTGAATACATATGCGATGGAATAACCCGGACGCACTTGGTGTTTGGACTCAACTTCGGCTAGTGCCGTATTCCTGCGATCACCTGTGCACTGGGCGCTACACTACCATCAACAGTTTTGTCCGTCGATGAGCAGGATCGGTACAGTGACCTAGTGACCCAGGTGTGCAAGCTGCAGGTAAATTTTCAAAAGGGTGAGTTCTATTCAATTTATTGATGATTATTATGTCTTTAATTTAACGCAGGCTATGATTTATTTGCGGCGATAATTTTGCAAGTTTTCGTACGTAAATCTTTCTTGGGGCTTTTTAAAGAGACTTGTTCATGATCGGTGACATTGTCGTCCGTTATTAATCTTCGGATTTTTATCTTAATACCAAGCTACGATCACTTCTCATTCATTTCTGTTAAATTTACGTATTCCTTATCATCTCACTTCAACTAATTATTATTTTTAATTCTGTTTAAAAAAAGGACTGTGTATTCGTCTTTTTACGTTGCACGTGATTCTCTTCCAGTTATGTTTTATTCATTAATCACTTTAAATGACAAACAAAAGATGATAGAACGTTCGATTTTATTTGTTACGTCTTTCTCATTCGCTATTATACGCAGTTTCCTTCGATGCATGCCGAGCGCTACCGCGAGAGCTCGGCCGGAAGACTCGCGCTCTGATTGGTGAACCAAGACCGATCAGTATAAAAACTCGTTTGCAAACCCGAGTGCAATACACTATATTGACTACAGTGCTCCGCAGCGCGTCCTGGAACTTTGAAATTATTTTTCCCCCGGGTTGGGCGGTTGTTCCCTCGTAGCGAAATGCGTGTGAATTCGCCGTGTAATCAGAAGGTGAGCTGCGAAACGCTCCGACTACAAATTCCGGCTTTCTTCCGGCGGCCTCTCTACACACGCGCGAAATTACCACACAATGCCGGAATATTTCTCTGTTTTGGCGTACACGTTCGCGCGGTGTCTTCTTCGGTGGATACAGGTTCCGTGTAGACGAGGGGTGTTGGCGGCGGAGGCAGCGACGCATCGTGCGCGGCACGGCAATTCAGACTCGAAAGCTTGCAAACATCTTCAATATAAGTTAGGCAACTGTACTTAGGTTACCTTCGTAACCAGGGCCGCATACGAAACAGTCCACGAATAGTTGGAAGGCATTCCCTTATTGCGAATATCAAGTAACTCCTGCCTCCGGCGTTCCTCTTCTATCTTCGCGCCTTAAATTAACTCTCAAATTAGGTAGACGATAACGAGGCTGCACGATACCAGACGCGTTGGCTCCAGAAACCAGGTCGAAGATGCGCTCCGCCGTCGGTCGTTCGAATCCTTCACTGGAATTCCTAACGCGTAGTCGAATTTAATTTCATACCTTGAACGCGTTTCGTACGATTTTCGCCTTGTACCCGGCTTTGGTTGTCGAACCGTTGAAATTATAAACCAGTGATATTAAGCAGTTCAACCGTGAATCGTTGGGGTGGTGTAATTTCATCAGTGATAGGATGCGGTTAGTTTAAAGTATACCAGACGGATCTTCGGAGACGAAGGATCTGGATTCCCCGACGTTCGACTCCCTACCTCTCAAAAGTAGGTTACTACTACCATTACTATGGGCTGATCTTAGTGACGGTTGGATCAGGTGGAAAGACGGGGTAAATAGATTCCCCGGGTAACGCCACCCTTAAACGCATTGGTTCTAGGAGTAACAGTGCCACTAATCACTAGTACCAGACGAATCATCCACGAGAAACACTTTTATGGGTATAATCGAACATTAGAGTCATTGGGCGCAGGATTGTCGCTGGTATTTCAGAAATTGTTCGGACCGGTCTAAAAGGGATATTAATTTAGAAGGGGAATGCTTTACACAGCTCTGAACGAGGATGTAATTTATTGTTACAGATATGTTTTCTTGAACTCGGCACCCAACCCTTGCTCTGTGGCCCTACTGAGTTTGAAACATTACTAACTACAATAGAATAAGTGATGCTTATACATTAGGACCTCCATTTTCGAAATTATTAAGGGAAAATTATAGCTCGATTATAGGAATTTCTGAATAGTGAAATATTAACATTCTCGATCTAGTGACTATCTGTAGTAATTGAACTTGTACAAAATTGGTTCCATACCTCCGACCATGAGTACAACTGTACCGTACTCTGTACGCAACCTCTGTTAAAGCAGTTCATCAATTCACTGCTAAAAAAATCTTATCCACATTGAAGCGAAATCAGCAAACGCACGCATGTTTTTCATGGGAGAAGGGCTACTGTTTCGACGAAAGCGTATCTCAGATCGTAGAGAATAGGGAAGAAGATGCGGCAAGGAGGGGACAGTGTGCCGGATGTGCCATGGCCAAGAATCCGTCTATTTCATCGGAACCTTGTCCCTTCCATTTATCTCCTTCAAGTTTTTCTGACCGTCGAAGCGTCCCCTCGAGAAGTTTTCGGGTCCGAGGGCACGGATTCAAACAGAAAACTGTTTTCCTATCAGTGAATGCATACTCATGTCGGATCTGCGGCCAGCACAATGCTTCCTCTGCTTCCTTTTCGCGAAAAGTTGTCGCTCGCTTTTGCGCTGGCTTCTGGACAACGCAGCTGGTGGGCCCTTGCAAAACGTCGGCCCCTCCGCCCCCCTCCTGTCAGCGTCTAAGTTGTCGGCCGGCAAACGCGTGCGAGTTTTCTGTTTTGCCGGAACTACTTTTCTGAAAGAGCTTCTTGTCTCATTTTTCCTCGACTCCCGCCTCCTTCTGCAGCCGAGGCCGCTTTCGTGCTCGTTTCTTCCCGCCCTCTTCCCCGTATTCGCGTCGCCCTCTCTTCGGGAACACCGACGACTTTGAGAAAGTTGTTCAATTCCGGGCCGCAAGTATGACACGAGTGTATCCACCGAACGTCCCACGGAAGAGCACGGGAATGCTTTTTGCCTCTACCTTCCTGTCGCTGTCCTCCTTCTTCGCCCGGTCCTCTTCGTTCGCCGCGGCTTCCTCTTCGCTGGGCTGACTGCTTCCTAGTTTCTTCCCCGTATCTCGAATGCGAGCCGCGTTGTCATTGACGCGAGAAACTCGACGGAACCGCCCGACGTTACGAGCGGCGAGCACGAGACTACACGTAAAGTTTAATACTATGATTTATACCTTCTAAACTGTCTCCAAAACTATCAAATATGTGGGCTGTGTTTCGTGATTATCAAATAGGAAATCTTTATTTAGTACTCGACATTTAAACCTTGTGTGGGCAACCAAAATATTCACAGTTATTAACCCTCCGAGCACGGTCCCTGGGTCACGCGTCGCGAGAGCGACATGCACAAAGTGACAGAGTCAGGAGTGGGGACACGATGTCTTGAGAGCGACACGCACATAGTGACGGAGCTGTCGCGTAAATCGTATAGCGACCGATGTTTGTTTACATGCGAACGACCGGGCCAAGACGGTGCAGAAGTATCGACTAATAAATATAATTTGTTTTTATAATTCACGAGATTTTTATTCTAGTTATTGTAATAAGAACCACGAAAATCCAAATGTAATGTGGAACCAGCTAATCATTACATTGTATATATGGTGACGGTGGCTCGAGCTAGAGGAACCGTCATTACGTAGTAATATCGGTGAGGGCCTCGAGCTCGAGCCTCGCCGTCGCTGTGTAGTAATAGAATCTCTGTGTGGGGTCAGATATGATATAAGGACCGGTAACCATGTTTCCGTGCTCGGAGGGTTAAGCAATCGGAATACCCCTATTTTGGTAGACTAGGTGAATATAGATAATTTTACTTTCCTACTTTTCTGAAACTCTTAGTTTCCCTGCCTATAGTATACCAAGTGTTGTTTGAGGCAAGAGCATACAAAATTCTACACCGAAACCATTTTTTGATACACAATACCCTAACGAGCACATGACGTAAAAATAAGTCGTCAAGATACCCCTATGCAGATGAGATAGGTAAACGATTCTAGAAGACACGCCGTAGCTGACATCACTCCGTTAGGTCGACGTCGGTTCATTAATAAAACCTCATTGAGTGGTAAAGAGCAAGTATGTATGAGTAGGAGCGGGGAAAGGGAACGATGCCGGCTGGAGAGTTGGCCGCTCGACTGGTTAGTCTGCAAATAAACGAGGAGAACGCGATCTAGCTGGTAATAATGTGCAAGTAGGTTAATCCATCATTGATATAGGTGGAAGGTATATTAATGGGAGGGCCACTCCCGATGGCGGTAAGAAACGGTCGTAATGAAGTATGTGGTGTGGCACGATGGAGGCGGC